CGGAGTACTCGCTTCGACTCCGCGGATGCCCCGGGGCGGCAGCCGCCGCCGCCGCCGCCGCCGGCCTGGGCCCCACGACGAAAGTGTTGAGGGTCGCCGTGAGAGCCTCTAGATCCCGCGGCGGTGTCTCCATCGCCAGGCTTGAGCACTTGCGCACGAGCGATCGGACCTGTCGACGGGAATGATTGTCATGCCCGGCGGCGGCGGCGACGGCGGATATTTAGGGTGTGAGCGAAACGTGCTGTGCCGCGTTATCTCCATTGGAAAACGAGAACAAAATAGTGCTGCCCTGTTCGGGGCTACTCCTGGCTGGTAGCCTGCAAACGTATGGCATGGTACTTGATATAAATACCTCAAGCTGGTGTAAAAGGGAGAAAGGGGGGCGGGGGGGAGCGATTCGTCACGTTTTTGCCTCTAGGATGCAACCTCCTGATGGTACTGCTGTGGCAGCAACAACCGCGAGACAGCACTTGCCGATTTGGTCGGGTGTCGGGGAGCGCTACAACTACAACCAGTCATAATTTCAGCATGTTGGCATCACTGGTGTTCACCCCTCTGACCGTTGTACGGACGCATGTAGGGAAGCACCTTAGCACTGCTGCGGTGTACCGCTGCAGGGGGAAGGCTTAGCAACGACGATGGTGCAGTGACCACAGCAGTATGGAAATCACTGCTATGTTCCGTGAAGACCTCCCATCGTGCGTAACCAAAGAGTACAGGTTGCGGTTCATGAACGTCCTTGAAACCGAAAGAAATCTTGAAAGAAAACTCACAATCATTTTGGGGCAACGGAACTTACCTCTGACGGAGGTACGCCGCACGTCAGCATCGAGTGTCCCAAGAAAGCCAGCTGGCCGAGCTTGACGTCCAACTGCCGACTCGCCGCGTCTTCTCCAAAGCGCTGCGGTACATTATTAAGTCCGGGACATAGAAAGCGTACGGGAGTGTCAAACAAAAAACACGAAATGAAACGAATGCTAGCAACAACCATCGTAGCATGAGTCGGTAACAACTCAGGAGTACACATCGCAACGGGTGTTCCACAACCTGGCGCAAAGACCTGCTCAGTTCCTTCACGTTTCCGCGCGGTCGGAAGCAATCAACCCTGGCCCTCCTCACATCTGGCCTACCGCCTACAAGAAAAATAGTGTACCCACATACAAAAATCACGCAGGGACAACCGCCCATTCATCTGCTTCTCGACAGCAGCAGCAACAAAGCCTCCAAGGAAAATTACCTCTCCCATCGCGTCCAGCGTGTCCCTTGTCAGCCACCGCTCTGCCCTCTCGCCCCCGCCCTCCATCGCCATCACCACCGAGTCGGACATGGACACCTCCCATAGCTCGATCGCGGCCCAGACAGGGTGCCTCCTGAGCTCCCTCAGCAACAGATAACCGGCCGCTTCTTCCTCCGCCTCCCCGGCACCCTCCCCGCTCGGAACATCCGCCGCCGGTGCCGCCGCCGCCGACGACGACAAGGCCGACACCTCGTCCAGCTTCCCCGCTGCGCTCACGAGCTCGCTGTTGGCCATGACCGCTGGGATGTTGTTGCCCCCGCCCCCGCCGCCGCCGCCGCTTTTCCCCTGCTGGCTCCCGTGTTGCTCCCTCAGCCAGGACAAGTAGTCGTCGCCTTCGACGGCGAAGAGGCCGGCGGTAACGAGGCAGTTCCTCGCCTGCAGGAACTCGCGGTCGGAGGCGGCCTGGTCGAGGGAGGCTCGCAAGAGCCGCGCCAGGGCCGCAAACGACGCCGGTTGGAGCCGGACCGGAGCGAACCCCCTAGGGCCGCTGCCTCCGCCGGTGCTCCCGGACCCCGTTGTTGCTGAGGGTCCTTGGTTGTCGCCGCTCGCGGTGGTGGTGGTCGATGGGCAAGCGTGCTGGCAGAGCGCTAATAGCAGCCGGTTGCTGGAGGAAGGGGACCTGCTACAAGCCTGGTTTTTCGTTTAGGCCCCCCGGCGGGGGAGGGCATGGAGCGGCGCGCAGGAAAGGGTGTGAGAGAGGCAGGGAGGACGGCTGGAGATGACAGAGGGTGCATACAACGGCGCTAAGCCGACAGAAGGCCAGGGCCACCAGCGCATATGGAGATGAAGATACCCACAGCACAGACCGAGGCTGACAGAACGAAACAAGCTCGACCGCCCGAACAAACGCCTACGACTCCAGGACCCACCCACAACACACACACACACACCTCTGCGGCAGCGTCCACCTCCTCGGCCTTCATCGTTCTCCCCCCGCCCCCCGTCAACAACGCCTCCACCGCCCTCGCCACGGCCGTCGCGGGGTCGCCGCCGCGGTCGTCCCCCACGCCCGGCCCCTCACCACCCCCGCCGCTCTTCGCCTCCTCTTCCTCTCCGACGACGACGAGAAGCTCGCTGCGTCTCCTGTCCGTCGCCCCGGCCCCTTCCGCGCGCAGTGACTCGAGGACGTCGTCGGCGAGGGTGGCGGCGAACACGCTAGGGCGCCGGGATGCCAGGGCCAAGCACGGGGATACCGTTACCGCCACCTCCGCCGCCGCCGCCGCCGACTTGCTGCCGTGACTACTCTTGCTGCTGCTGCTGCTGCTGCTGCTGCTGCTGCTGCTGCTGCTGCTACTGCTGCTGCTGCTGCCTTCCGTGCTTGTTTTCGCGGTGGGGGTAGTAGCGGCAGCGGTCGGTGGGTCAGCGGCTGAAGGACTGTCCTCCCCTTGGGGATCGACGGCCGCGGGCGGCGGTTGCGAGTCCTCCTCCGGTACTGGCGCTGGTGCTGGTGCTGGTGCTGGTGCTGGTGTTGCAGCTGTTGGTGCTGCTGGTGCTGCAGCTGCTGGTGTTACAGCGACTGGTGTTGCAGCTTCTGGTGTTGCAGCTGCTAGCGTTGCAGCGACTGGTGTTGCGGCTGGCGTGGCCGTTGGTGTGGCCTCCACCGCTGTCTTGGCCGGAGATTCGGAGCTGGGCTCTGGGTCTATTTGAGGGGTGCTGCTGTCCGCGGCAGTGAACGCGGCAACGGCGTCGGCAAACGCCGCGGCCACCCCCCCGATAACGCTCCCATCTAATCCCTCTCTTCTGCTGCTGCTGCTCATGGGCTTATCGTTAACAACGCCGTCGGGAGATGGTGTGGCCTTCTCGGCGTTTGCTCCACTGGAACTAGCGCTATCGCCACTGTCATCTGCTGCAGCAGGTGCTGCTGCTGGGCTTACCACGGTGTCGCCCGTGTTCTCGCCATTGCCACTGCTGGAACCGGCTACATTGCTACCACTGCTGCCTTCGGGTGCGTTTGCCCCGTCCGCTGCTCCCC